GGATGGAGGAGGGGATTAGCGCTCTGGATGTGAACCAGGAGCGGCCAGGAGTCCCAAGCTCGCTGGGATAACAGCACCAGACAGCCCTGGCTCAGGGCCAGCCGGCAGGATGCTGTGCTGGAGACCTCCTCGGTGCCAGGGCCGGCCTCGTGCCACCGAGGCTGGTGGGGAGAAATGGTCCCATCCCTTCCACAGTCCCTCCCCAGCCAGGCTCTGCAGGCAGCAGTGGTGTGGGGCAGCCCCACAGCTCGGCTGCCTTCCCTGGCTCCCCTCCTGGGTACCTCACGCCTCTCCCCATCCCCTGCCTGGTGTGGTGCCTTCTCCAGGTGGCCAGCGCCGTTTTCCCAACCCTTTTATTCTCCACTGGGCCATGCTCTGTAAGCCAATTTCTCCTCCTGTCCTCTCTGCTTTCCCCAGCGAGGATTACAAGCAGCACTTCAGCCCCCGGGACCTGCTGGTGTTCTCGGCTCACCCCCTCCTGGTCTATCCCACCCACTATGCTGGGGACAGCAACTGGCTGAGCGACACCGAGACCTCCACCATCTGGGACGACGATGCCAAGAAGACTGACTGGGCTGGCTCGCAGAAGACCCTGAGGGACTCGCGAGGTGGTGCTGGCCACCTCCGCTCCACCGCCCGTGACGAGCTCTGACGGTGAGCGAGGCTCTGGGACCTGGGCACATGGTGTGGGGACAGGGCACAGAGCAGCTGGGAAGCACCTCCCTGCGAGCACTGTGTTTGGATGTGTCACAGAACCACAGAATCCGTCTGGTTGGAAGAGACCTTTAAAGTCATTGAGTCCAATTGCTAACCCAGCGCTGCCAGGTCCCCACTGACCCATCAGCACCACATCTCCACGGCTTGGAAACCCCTGCAGGGATGGGGACTCCACCACTGCGCTGGGCAGTGGGTTGCAAGACTTGACAACCCTCTCTGGGAAGAAATTTTTCCTAATATCCAACCTAAACCTCCCCTAGTGTAACTTGAGGTCATTTCCTCTTGTCCTGTTGCTTGCTCCTTGGGAGAAGAGCCTGACCCCCCACCTGGCTCCAGCCTTCTGTCACGGAGTTGTTAGAGGGAGAAGGTCTGTGTCCTGGATGCCTAGTTTCTTTTTGTGATGTGGCAGCAGCTCTCCCCATCAGACTCGAAGCACTGGAAAATGGAGAGGAGCTCTCTTCCAGGCAGGAAAAGGGATGGGGAGGCAGATGTCCCATGTGGGGCTGTGCTGGGCTGGAGGGGCCCTGGGGCTCAGTCCAGGTGCTTCCCGAGTGCATGCTGCTGCCCAGCCCCTCAAGCACAAAGGGACAATGCTCCTTCACCTGCTCCCTAGCCACTCGGGTTTGGAGAGAGCTGGAGCACCTCGCAGGGGGAAGTTTCTCCCCGGGGTTGCTCGCTCCCCACCAAAGGAGGTCTCCCCGGGGCCGTCTCCATGCGGAGGAGTCCCGGCGTTGCTGGGCTCCTCGGCAGCGCCGCCACGGTTAACGCCGGCCCACACCCTCCCCCGCTGCGGCTGGTTCTTCGTGCCG